ATGTAAATATTTTTCCAAAACAATGAATTATAGATTGCAAGGTACATGTTTATCACTTATAACGATAATTACAAGGTACATGATTTAATCATTGTCTTGAATATTTATCAATATTTTTACCAAAAAATATTAGTTACAACTAATTAAAGTATATGTAAAAGTAACATCTTTATCGAACACATTAACACATACATACTTTATATAACAAAATAATTTGACCGACTGGAAAGAAAAAAAAAGTTTTTTCTTTTTAAATTTGGATTATAAAGCATGATTGATGTTTATAAAAAAGATTTATGTAAAAAATTCATAAAATTGAACAAACAAGACTTTGAACCAGAAAAGGAAATATGAAGAATAGATCCAATCGATCAATTTCAAGTACTTAAAAGGTGGCCCGTTCTTATCCCTTTCTTTCTGGCTTCCAATATTCTAGCTTTTTATTATACACCAAAATTGAATTGTTTGACATTTTATGTGTTTTGAGATTAAATTACAACTTTAACTACTGGACGTATTACTAATGACCAGTTTCCAAGTTACTTTGCTTCATACATTTTTTCTGTATAATGGTAGTCCAAAACCAAATTTTATAAATGATAGATATATTTCTAAATTTACAAAATACTAAACTAGCTTTCTTTAAATACATTGATTTGAATACACTTAGGCAACTTTCTACAAAAATTCACATGTTCAATCTATTTGATTAATTTCTATTTACCTGTTCATTGCTCAATGCTCATAAAAAATTATAGACTTTCAGTAATTGCTAATTACTTGTATATGTAATAACTTGTAATATATATATATATATATATATATATATATATATATATATATATATATATATATATATATATATAATTACATTAACGGCCAAGGACATTAAAATTACTAATATTTTATAAACGACCCAACTTTTAGCGAAAATGATTTTAATATAACTTGTATCACGTAATGCACAAATAGGTTTTTTTAATATATATATATATATATATATATATATATATATATATATATATATATATATATATATATATATATATATATATATATATATATATATATATATATATATATATATATATATATATAACCTATTTGTGCATTACGTGATACAAGTTATATTGAAATCATTTTCGCTAAAAGTTGGATCGTTTATAAAATATTAGTAATTTTAATGTGCTTGGCAGTGAATGGAATTATAATTAACATGAGTGTCAGTGAAGATTTAAGTTCTAATCGAATATAAGTTTGATGGTACAGGGTGGATATGTTTATATAAGGCGAATTGATTCTAAACATAGTGAAATGAGAGAGTCAAGGTCCCCTTTGTGATTAATTTTAGACCTAAAATGTAATGGAAAAATATAATTAGAATGAAGGTTTTGGGTCTGCCTAGACGCAACTCATACTTCCTGATATCCAAACTGTCTAGTAGCCTAAGTGGGTGACAATCAAGCTGGTTGTGACCGACACGCTACTAGTCTGATCAATTTTTTCCACGACTCAAGTTGCATGACAATTATATTTCAAATAACGTTTTCTAGTTGCAAAAACATAATTTTTGTCAATCTTATCCAAAATTCGGATGTATGCGTAGATATAGTTAGATTTGTTGTCTAAGATCATTAAAGATTCAACTATTTTACTATATCATTAGAGTCATTGTTTATCTTTGTTGTGATGAAACTCATAATATTGATGAAACTCATAATATTCTTAAAAATTGTCTCATGCTGAAATTTTGAAATGTTGCACATATTAATCCTAAAAATGAAAATATATGGTCCTTAATATATCCGATCATTTATAAATTATCAAACAAATATTTCACACATAAAATATAGAAAACAATGATTGAAAATATATAATGTCATGGACAATGCATACTTTCCAACCAAAGTGCTTTCATATGCTACTTCCACTTCAAAGTTACTTATTTCCAAATTCTCACTCGCTAAGTTTATCTAATTAATTATGAGGGTGTTCGGAATTGTGTTTTAAATTGATTTATTGGTTTTAAAAAATTAAAAAAGATGTTTAGATATCGAAATTGTCTTGATTGACTTTCTTTTTTCTCCTCTTCTTTCTTTAGTTATTTTATCAAACATAAAAGAGTGTATAAAACTTATAACTTTTTAAATATTTTTTGCTATCGTTTAAGTGGATCTAAAGTTGTTTCAAATATATTGTTTTAAGTTTTATTTTACTACATATAATCTAATAAATATCTTTTTTTTTTCTCAAATTCAATCCCAAACACCCGTACATGTCACAAGTTTTTGGAATAGGTGAAAGTATTTTTTTTTTCTATTAAAGGCATCTCCAACTCATCCCCAAACTCCATTTTTTTCCTTTATTTTTTCCTCATTTTCCTCCGATCTATCTCATTTTCATCTTTATTTTTTAAGATATGAATATATTCCCCAAGTTTCGATTGTCAATTTTAGTCTCTCTTATTTTTATTTTACAAATTTTTAGTTTATTTTTATCTACTAATTATAATTTAAATACAATATTTAATATTTATAATATCATATTATATACTAATTTATATTAATTAATAATAAATATAGAATTTAATATTTATTTATCGCATTTATATAAAAAAAATTAAATATAAAAACATGATAACATAATTTATAAAATATAATAATCAAATATGATCGTGATCTTGATATATTTATTATAAATATAATCTTGTTTATTTAATAATTATATATATTAAAGTTATAATTAACTTAAATTTCTTATATATAAACATTTTTTTATGATAATATAAATTGTAATGAAAAAATATAATATATATTTGTTAAAATCTAATGGTAGAAAAATGTATTTGAATATATATATATATATATATATATATATATATATATATATATATATATATATATATATATAAAAGTTATAAAAGTGAAATATTTTAAGAATATATTTTTTGAAGTAAAAATTTAGATAAAAAATAAAATACTGTCGGAGGTAAAATATTATTTAACTTATTTTTTATTCTATTTATATGGGGAAAATAAAAATAGGTTGGAAATGGTTTGACAGAGGAGGAGTAGATTTAATAAGGGATAATTTCATAAAAAGCCTTAAGTTTGGCAGAAAATACCGGTTTTACCCTTCGTCAGATTTTTAGTTCGTTTATACCGCAAATTTGTCATTTTTTTGTTGGTTTTGCCCTTGTTACCTGCAATAGCAGGTTTCCAGGTTATTATGAATTATTTTTTTGCAAAAAAACCCTTAAGTTTACAAATATTTTGCAAAAAAACCCTTAAGATTATAAACATATAAAATATAAATATATATTCAAAATTTTATAAAACTAAATAGTTTTCTACTGAAATATATTTTTAGCTTTACATAGGGTAACTTTTATATTTGTTTGATATAAACTTTTTATATTTAAATTTTAAAAAACTTACCTAGTTTTAACAAAATTTGAATATATTTCTTAATTAATACTTCAACTTTTCAAAACAAAATTAAAAAACATTTGTTAGTTAATAAGTAATTATGCTAAAATAGTTATTATGAATAATATGGTATCATGTACATTCAATTAATTTTTTTAAAAGGTAAATAAAAATATTCTATATGTTTAAAAGGTTTATATTTCAGAAATATAACATATCGTATTTTTTATATGTTCAAATACATAATAATATTATCATATTTTTTTTATAAAAATATCATAAACATGTTAAACATCAAAAATAAATATAAACATTTTAAACATATAAAATATAAATATATTTGTTTAATTTATTATATAAATATATTTATTTTTATATAAAATATGATAGTTTATTATTTCTGAAATTCAAACCTTTTAAACATATAAAATATTTTTATTTTTCTTTTGAAAAAAATTAATTGAATGTCACTAATGTTATATTATTATTAGCTAACAGACGTTCTTTAATGTTACTTTGAAAAGTTTTAGTATTAATTAATAAATATTTAAATTTTGATAAAACTAGGTAACTTTTTTAAAATTTAAATATAAAAACTTTATATTAAACAAATATAAAATTTACCGTACATAAAATTAAAAATATGTTTCAGTAGAAAACTATTTAGTTTTATAAAATTTTGAATATATATTTATATTTTATATGTTTATAATCTTAAGGGTTTTTTTGCAAAATATTTGTAAACTTAAGGATTTTTTTGCAAAAAATAATTCATAATAACCTAGAAACCTGCTATTGCAGGTAACAAGGGCAAAACCGAAAAAAAAATGACAAGTTTGCGGTATAAATGAACCAAAAAACTGCCGAAGGGTAAAACCGATATTTTCTGCCAAACTTAATTTTCTGCCAAACTTAAGCTTTTTTATGTTCTTGGAAGATTGTCATTCTGTACATTTGTGGAGGGGAAAAAGTGACAAGGCTACAAAGAGCCAACATAATTTACAGTATGAGGCTCTTCTCTTTGAGAAAATATTATTCTCGACCCCTACATTCAACGACTCATTTCCAAACCTCCAAACAACGAGTCAACTCACATCATCGATTCCTCAAATCCCCATTAATCTTCGAGAAAACTCCGATCACCAACCGGGAACCAATAATTACCCGAAACACAATCCTTAACTCGGTCCCCAGCAGTTGAAGTACATGACTTGCCGGAGAGCCTCATCGGCATCTATAACCTTCCTGTTTCCGCTGCCAACGATTCCTTCATTCAGAAACCCGGAAACTGGCCGGAGATCAGACGAATCAACTCCGGCTGAAGCAGCGAACGCTTTCTTGCCATGCTGAAAGGAATTGACGACTGATTTCGTTTTGTAGACTTGATCGGTGTGTCCGTTAACAGCAGCAACTCCGGCGGCCATACATACACGGGTGATCAGAAAGCTCATGTTGTCAAACTCTTGTGATTTGTTAATCGTGCTTTGTTGTCTGATAAAATGAATTGCGAAGGGGACGATATTTATATGACGAAAAGTAGTTTTGATGAAACCTGAAACCATGGTTTAAGAATTAATGGTTTCCGTTAAAGAAAGAGTGAGCTCGGAATTCGAGGCTCTTTGGATTGTCTACGGAGGCGTCAAAATCACTATGAATCTCAGATGCAGAATACATCATCTCCTGAGGTTCAGTGTATATCGTGAGATATTGATTAGTTATTCTTTGAAAGTTCTAGAGCTTGTGTATTTTTTATATTTGAAAATAAATATAACTGGAATTTCACCTTGTTTTTACTTTCAATATAATTTGGCTAGTTTAACTAATACTATTCTATTAAAAAGCTAATAAAAAGATAGGGTTTAAGTCGTTGAATTAGCAATTATAATTTCTTGTTTAATGTGGTTTTAATAAGCATAAATAAATTAGCGTTTTACCAGATGAAAATATCGCGATAAATTATGAAGACATGTGTCAAACTTATCCTGACACAAAAGTATGAGTCATTGGATTTTAGTGTGGTCCTTTTGCGTCGTTTCTGCAACCCATCCATCTGTCCTTGTACGGTATGGCAATGGTTATACAAAATGACAACACTTAAATACAAGACTTTGGTGTATCCAAAGAAAATAAAGAATTGACATTTAGTGTATAAAACTAATATAATAATAGTAAAACGAAAAAACAACATTTTTTTTTTTAATTAAATACGAACAAATATTAATCAAATTCTTAAATGTAACTCTAGAATTCGCTATGGTTTGGTGTTAAATGCCATTATTCATCAAAAGAAAATATTAGTATTATGAAATGCAATTATTTACTGCGAAATGTCAGTATGTCACTATTAACAAAAATAAATATTGTTTTTTTAGTACAACGAAGTTTATATTGCATACTGTAAATTTATTAATATTTTTACGAAATTCATGATTTTTTGTTGAAGAAATTTTTTTCTGAGGTTTTTTATGGTAGCGATCTTCAAAAACCATCACAATCACGTTCATGTTTCACCATTTACTTTTCCTGAAAACAACGATTTACTTTTCCTGAAAACAAGTTTTGCATGGGTCCAACAAACTATTACCATTTTTTATGAATATGACAACGATGGATAATGATTTTTTTTTTCAGTAACGAGGATCCAGATTTAATGTGACTAGAACATAATACAAATGTTTTCCATAAAGAATTTCTAGCGATTGTTGTAGTTTTAATACCCCTAAGCTTCGTAGCTAACCAAACTAAACCTTGTCCTAGTTAAATCTAAATCTGTTCGTATCAAAATTACAACTTTTAAATGTGTGAGACCATCTGCTTTATGCTTAAGCTATATGAAATCCTTTTTCAAATTTCTCCCTTCAAATTTTAAACAGGGAAAATATAAGTCCATAATCAGATTTAGAAATTACTTGAATATGGAAAACCACGAAACCCTATTTGTACAACTTGCCCTTTTCTTCTTGAGTAGTAAAATATGATGAAAGGACTATCAATTGCTTTCTCTTTAAACATATTTGCAAAAAAAAAAAAAATGCTGCAATTTATAAAAGCCTTAAAAACTCATAATACAACTCAGGTTAAATAATATTTTAGGAACAATAATTACCATGGTGTTTATATATTTCTATTAGGTAAAACCCACACTACATATCGACACAAATGAAAGAAACACACACACACAAAATAAGCTCATGTTGTGTTCTATACGACAAAAGAAATTCCCTTCTCAGGTCCAACATTCTTGGACATAATATCCCATGAAGAAGCCAAATATATTTCCTCAGGCGAAACAAATGGCTTTGAAACCTCACTTATCATTAAATCCCCACAAAATGGGCATTCACTCGCTATTGCATCATCCAACTCTGATCGAATCTGTTTATTCATCATTAAAAAAGTTAACTCAAAAAATCACAAAATAAAATCATGTTTAAAATGTGTAAAGTAATGACAATTATACAGACCTTATCAACAGGTGCTACACTTGTGATGGAGTCATCCGCAACACCATTTAACCCACCATTTACATTTACATTTACATTCGGCTCAACACTCATTAAAGTCAGTTGCTTTTGTAGATCCAGTATATGCTCAGCCTTCAAAACACAATAATATAATTCATTTTATAAAAAGTAAACAATATTTAATAATATATATATAAAAAAAAACTACTTACTTGATTTGGGTCAGTGCATTTGGTAACATGGGCAACAAGGCATTGTGCATGAAACGCATGTCCACATGGGAACACATAGAAAGGGGAGAGGGGCCCCATTGTTGTATAGCCTCTTGAAATTCGATAATCCGCCCCTGCGGACAAAATTACCCTCCGACAAACCTATTCAAAAAATTACAAACATGAACATGATTTTTTTTTTTCTGCTAACAAATATAAAAATAAAAATATTCATTTCAAGAAAAACAATTACATTTACATACCCCGCATTCCTCATCACGATCAACAACTGCATATCTTTGAGCAAGGGCACTGATGTCATTTCTTATATTATCAGCTCCATGTGTCGCATCGTTCATCTCCTCTTTCAGTTTCTCAATCTGCTGGTTATAATCCTCTAAAGACGAACAAATCGCTTCCTATATTTATTAAAAAAAAAAAAGTTTTATTATGTGAATGTATTCATGTAATATGAAATAAAATAAAAATCGTTACCTTGAAGTCATCAATTAGTGCAAAATCCGGAAAGAAAGGTAAGATATCTTCAATCTTTAACAAACCATCGGTTTCCTTTAAAAATGCAATTGCCTTTCGAATGTTCTCTCTTTTTGTCCCCTTTTCCTGTTCAACAACATGCTTTGCAACCATAAGCCAAAGCTTCTTTCTCAAGTCTTCATCATCTTCCACTTTGTCTGCTTCAGCCATGGCTAGCTCGGGGTCAACCTTGGTCAACAAAAGTCAAACATGAGAAAATAGCACACAACATAATTTTATATAAATTTTTTACCTGAAGAGCAAGTGCTACAGCTTCTTCATGCATAAACATCATGCTGTAAATATGGACACATGCGCGCATACGCTTTTCCTTTAGGCAAAGACGCAACGCGTATTTAGGATCATAGAAGAAATCTGGGCCGTTAGATCGTCCTTTACCAAATTTGCATTGTAAGAATCGCAGAAGGGTGCTATCGTCTTCCTGAATGTAATATTTGAATGAATAATGGGATTTGTTTTTTTTTTTTTTGAATTATAAAATGAATACGTAAGAGGAGAATGATGAGGAAGTGAACCTTTTTTGCGTATAGAGAGAGCAAGAGGTTATGAACACCTGGATCTTCATTTTGCAACCGGTGAACACAATATTCTAAATACTTAATTACTTCATGGGTTTCATTCCTGTATATTTTTGAGGTAATATTAATTTTTACCAATATAGGCAAATGTATTTTATTTATTTAAAATGGCAAGACTTACTTTGCATGAGGTTCACTTGAATAAGACATCATTGCAGGAATAAGCTTTCTTGGATTCAAATCATTCCTTGTCATCCATGACTCAACAGTTTCATATGCATCAAGCATTATCAGATCTGGAGCAAATTTATACTGCAACACACAAAAAAAAAAATAATTTACCATTATATATTCCAAAAGATGATTGATTTTCTGCATTACCTGAAGCTCAACAGAAACACCTGGTTTTTGAAGTACATCTAATGCTCTCTTTGCTTCTCCTTGCTACACAAGTGGAACAAAAACTTGGTGACACTCAAAAAGCAGTGCGTGAGAGAGAGAGAGAGAGAGAGAGAGAGAGAGAGAGAGAGATAAGAGTATTGAATTTTGGAATAAATTGAAGAAGAACCTGAATGTAGTGATGAATCACAATCTCGTGTTGTTCTTTTAGACTAGCGAAATATACCAATTCATCAACTCTACCATAGCTGAAAAATATACATTTCTTATAGAAATTGTAAATCAAGTAAGAAAAAGAAAAATGAATAATATAAATAATAAGAACCTTTCAAGTAGAGTCATTGTAGTTGCTTCATCCAACACATCTTTACTATCACTAAGAAAAGCACGAAATTCCATGATGACAGATTGGTATTCTGAATTACGCTTATCTGGCGAATCATCTTCCAGTAGTAGTCTATTGATCTATATATGCATTTCATAAATAAACTATTATACTAAAATTTTTAATAAATAAACCATTGAATTTAAATTAAGAAAAAAAAAAAAAAAAAAAGAACCTTGTCGAGGTAGAGTTCAGTGGCCCATGTAGATATCATCATTATTTGACATTTATCATCTTTCACAAGACTATCAAGCTTCCTCAACAAAAATGTCCTTAAAGCATCCTGAAAGAAACATAAAAATAAAAAATGAGACTCAATTATATGGAAAAGACAAAAAGTATGAAATAAAACTGCATTTACCTGTTCCCCTATGCCTATAAACTTCAATGTAATCTCTTCAAACGACAATGCATAGTTTATCTGAAAATTTTTTTTTACTTAAGTAATCAGATAATCTTAACATACCCTAATATTGCTTTAGAGTTTAGAGTTTAGAGTATAGAATCACTCACTTTAGCAAAAAATGATGCTGCTCTAAAGAAGTCCTTTGATGAAAAAGCAGCTTCAGCCTACAATACAAATTGTTTAACTTTAAGTAAGTAAATAGAATTAATAATATCTATAAAGATAAAAAAAAATAAAAATAAAAAAGAGTTGCTGACCTGTACTAAGTATACTTGGTCTCTCTGGAAAGGATCAGAGCAATTTGCTAAAGCAGCAGCATATTCCTTGAGGTCTAGATACACTTTCCACATATCTCTCCCTTCATCAGTTACAGACACCTATTGGAAGGTAAAATATTAATCAGAATCAAAAGAAAAAATGTGGTGAATAATAATAACAGTAATATACGTGTAATTGGAAACTGAAAACTCATAAAGGAAACCTGAAAGATTGAGTTTTCATCATATGCATAAAACAATCCAGCAGATGCATCAATAGAAAGCCCAATGATCCCTTTTGATGCTGTCTCTGAAGTTTGATCAAACTGAAGTTCTTCCACAATTTGCTCACTAATTCTATTTACAACTTTGACCCTGTTTCCAATTAGGAGCAAAAAGTGGAATTCTGAAAGTGCAATAGAACTAGGTTTAACCACTTCCCCACCATCACTTAACTTTGAATAACTCAAAAGAGCCTTGTTCTCCACAAAATTTATATCCCCATTTGGGGTTCTTCTCATCATCATTTCAAGTTTCAACAACAGAGACTTCAATCAGTAAACTCAAAATCATCATCAAAATTTTCAACTAATAAACATTTCATTTGAACTCCACCTGTTTTGTGCTCCAAAATTGAGTCCACCATGATAAATACCAGCTCCAGAAAGCCAAGCAAAATGCACTGCTCTTCTTTGCTTAATAAAGAAATGCAACTCACTACATGATAACCAAAATGGGAAGAGATTTTATATTAGTTAAAAGAGTATGAACTATCAAGTGAACAATATACATGGACTATAGAGTATAGAGCTTTTGCCTATTTGGTATTTCTCCAGGAAGCTCCATAAAATGCACTGCACGTTCTACATAACTTGCAAAGATTGTCTAGGTTGAAAAAAAAAGGTTTAATAAGAACTATTATTTACTTTATTCTATGATAAACACACAAGTGTTGACTGTTGACTTGTTGACTTACCTCAAGCAATCCAATACCAGTAAATGAATATAGTCTTGTTGAGGTTACAGCCATAATATAGTATCTAGTTCCATTGTTTGAGCTAGCTGTTTCCATCTATATATATATATATATATATATATATAGAAAATACATTAAGTAAAGTAAGAACAAGACTTGTGATTTAGAGAAAAGATTAAAACAATAGTTAAGTGAATATATTACACCTGCAAACCCTCGAAAGGCACTGGGAATTCAATTAGTTCGAATAGAAATTTTACGTATTTCTCCCTCTTATCTTTCTCATCAACAGCAATTTCATAAAGTTGGCCATTTTGTGTGCCAAGTATAACCTCTCGTGTGGAAACTGTTTGAAGAAACAGATGAGGGATATGAATATCCATTTAAAAAGAAAAGGATTAAAATATGAAGTTACCTTCTGTTATCTGTTGTCTGTTCCAGGCAACAGCATTGACTACAAGGCCCCTGAGTTTGACCAAAACCCTGGGCTTTGACCATTTTGCATGCATGTAATATGTATCAGAACCTCCTGTGCCAATAACAGTGGCTATACAATGACTCCCACCAGGATCAACAAAAACTCTGTGGATGGATTGCTCCCCAGCTCGACCAGTGGAAAGATCAGTATCTATACATATATAATGGCATATATATAGCTACTCATTAGTATTTTTTCAGAAAAACAAAAACTTTATATGCAACAATAAAGGAAAAAAGATTAAGGAGATTACCATAAGAATCACCACCACCAAAGTCATGCCTGATTAGCCATCCAGTACTGGTTCCAAGAACAATGACATCGTTTCCAGATGCCATACAAGTAATAACTCCATGACCTTTTGCTGCATATCTTTCTAGAAGATCTACAGTAAATACCTGTCTTAAGTCCATCTTCTCCAGAGCCCTGTATCCAGGGGACAAAATCAAAACTTCACAAAGAAAAGAAATGCTTCGGTACTTATAATGTCATCATGCAGTTATGGTTTTCATGGATGATGCCAAATTTATGTGTTCCCTATTTGTACCACATCCATAGATAATAACATTATGCACATATAAATGTTGTTATGCGGAAATGTGAATCTGTTAGTTGATGAAACTGATGAGAATTGGAAATTAGGGTTCAGTTAACTAAAAGGAGACAGGGAAGAATTGGGGAAGAAGATGATGAAATAGACTGAAACGATTAACACAATCAAAAGATTGCCCAGGCTAAGCCGATACAAAATTCTAGAAATCAATTCACACCTTATTTCAGATTGCCGATTGTTGTATGATGTTTAGCTGCTTTTGCGATTGCTGGTTGGAAGCTCAAGAATCGAGATTTTGATTTGGAGTAGGGAGTTCGTCTACTTATCTCCGCCTGATTTCCCTCATTTTGCTTATTTTTCTATAAACATTTTACCTCTTTAAGATTTGTCGCTCAATATTTCAGATCAAGAGATGTATACGGATGTTAGAAAATTTGGGCCCTTTATTTTTAGGGAGCCCTGTGCAATGGCAATTTGATTCTATACCTATGATAGACAGATAATCCAACTCACCGTTTTTGTTACAAACAAGACTCAATTATAGACTTTCAGAAAGTAGAATTTCATCTTCAATTACGTTCATTTTACTTATCAATTTACAAGTATCACTACAATACTATCAATTAACAATTAATCCATTATCTGAAACTTTCAACGAACTACAGTAAATTATAACTATTGTGGAACAAAAGGCTTACAGAAGATGAAAAGAAGACCACAAGATCAAACGAAGATCATCGATTTATAAGAACTCTGCTCGCCGTCCGTCGAGGTGAAGGGAGGAGTTCGTGAGAGGATGTCGCCAACTGCCACGAGCGTAGGACTGAGATTAGCAAGTTTTCAGGATAAATGTTCAACATAGGTACCTTTAGTTTTATAAATTCAACTGAACCCCCTAAATTTAATCCTCTCTTAAAAATAAAGTTTTATTTTATTTTATTATTATTATTATTATTATTTTTTTGCCTTACATTCACATTTAATTTGCTTAATGTCATTTTATTTTTATTTTAAATTTTTTTTCACGTATCATTTTATCAGTTTTTCTATTTTATTAAATTTAATTTTAATATAATAATTACAATAAATATAGTAATAAATTGAAATCAATTTCATTAATAAGTTTACCTTTTAATTTTAAAACTCTCAAAATTAAAGTTCATTAGTTTTTATTTATTTATTTAAATTATTTCTTTTAATTTAAAGATAAAAAATATTTTCATTATAATAGTTCATTATTTTTTTTTTAAATTTAAAGTTCTCAAATATTTTGATATTTATATTTAATTTTTTTAAAATTAAATCATGTAATACATAGGTCTCACAACTGGCTGTAAGAAATATAACAAAATATTTTAATTTTTACAATTAAAAAAAAAAAAAAAAAAGCTTTCGAGCGAGCAATAACAGGCACCATTTATGTAGCATAGAAACACGATCTCAAAAGGAGTTTGGGGTATTTGAGGGGAAAGTAGAAGGGGTTCATAGTTGGATTCAACTTAATGATTTCACAAACCTTATGTTTCTGTTTTAAAAGCCCGGTTCATCTTTCAAAAGCATTTGTTCTTTTTTAGGTTACAATTTTAATCTGTCCCGATTATAAGAAGATGAAATCAAACCTGGTTTAACTCGATTAAGATCCCTCCTCTCCGCAATATCCCTTTCTCGTCTATGTCTAAATTCCATACAACAAAACCTTGCGAAAGAAATTAAAATGGGAAGATTTAAGTATATATTTAATTTAAATATTAATCTTTAATTTAGTTTTTAACCACATAGCAAAGAGCTACTATGTCGATAAAAACCCTTCTTCTTATGTCATAAAATAGAGACACCACAGGAGACCATTTGGACCGTGTTGAAATTGTTTTTTGTATTGAACCGGTTTGGAAAAAATTAGTAGACTATGAAACGATCCTGTTGAAACTTACTGAGTCCAAGTCCGGATTTTTTGGTTTTTGTGCTTGTTGGATCTGTCAATTTTAGGTGCATATGGTACAAGTTGTTAAAGCTCTACTGAAGTTAATTTATTTATTACTTTAAAATAAATACCTATTGGACCACACATGGACCTGGACTAGACCTATTTGATTTTGTACTTGGATCCATTTTGCATGATTCAAAGAACCAAAATTGAACCTAAAAACACAAGTCCAGGTCCGATCTAGAAGTTCAAATGCTCACCCTTACGCCAGAGACGAGAGACGAGATGGATAGAGGTTTCAAGCGACTGTAAGAAGGAAAAGACACATTTAATCTTTATGTGATGATAAAAAAAATTATATTAATAAATTAATAAAAATATAGAACAAAGGGAAAAATAATATCTTTATAATGGTTTAACAAAATAAATGTAACAGTGTTACAATTAAGGATGAAAATTTGTCCCAAAAACCCGAACCGGACCGAATTAGGACCGAATAAGCAATTCGATTCGGGTTTCAGGTATGTATATTATGCTTATTCGGTTATTGGGTTATTCGGTTCGGGTTACCCAAATAATTGCTTATTTGGTTTTAAATACCTGACCCGAATAAACATTTCTCCTTCCCTTTCTCTGATCGAAAAAATACAAAATTATGATTCACATATTTGTCATCTTCGTTCATAACAGAAAAAAAACCTTACACTTGTTCTCAGAAAAAAAAAAAAAAACCTTACACTTGTTCTCGTCGTTTCAAAATCGACCAATATTTTCATCTACTTCCAAACTCGAAATCACTTTTATCGATCATTTCTCTTGTTTTAAACTTTCAAAAATCAACCCTTCTTATTTTCTCTAAGGATTTACGAATTCCTATTTTGTCTAGTCAAGGAAAATTGGGCTCCAACTTAAGAAACTCAAGTAAAAAATTAATTATCATTATGTTAATCTACTATATAAATGTTATTCTTTCAATGTGCTATTGTATTATGTTAGTCTTTGAATGTTTTATGTTGATGTATAAATGTACATTATTATTTTATTATTCGGGTTATAGAATCCTAATACGGGTTATAATTTCCCTATAATATACTTTCTAACTTAAATATGTTATTAATTACAAATATTATCATAAATGGAAGATTTCAAGAATTATAAATAACTTCAATATAGTGTTAAATGTATAATGTAAATTAATATATCAAACAAACTTAAAAATATAGTGTAAAATTTAAAACCTAAAGTAAAATATCAAATAAAGTTTTAAAAAAACTCAATGTATATTTTTTTTACAAGAGTTAAAAGGAAAATATGAATTATAATAAACATAGAAGAACATAAATCTAATGTAACGCTCTGTTCCGAATTGACTCATAGTCTGAGGCTGTGGCTCGAAGGTCGGTCATTATAAGGATTATGGCTTTTGGGAAGGTAATACCTAGACCATTTGGGTGCGGGTGATGTACTAAAAGTGATTCGGGTGTTCGATTCATGTCTTGGAGCCTAGGGGTATTTCAGTAAAGTGGCAGATCGGGCTTTTGTGGAAAATGGATTTTTGTTCGAAAAGTCTTAAGAAAGGTTTGAGTTGTTAGAAGTGTAGGGCTTGTTGTTACCTTTCCGTGGATATAAGGATCGTCGGAATCGGGCTTATAACAAAGAAGTTATGGCCTTCGGAAGTTTCGTGGTTTTCAGGCTTAGCCAAGTACACGGGGCGTACACAAAGAGTACAGGGGGCGTACTAGCGAAGAAGGTAGTATGTTGGGTGTACTGACCAGGATGGTCATGAATGTTCCTCGAAGTACGCTGAGAGTACCATATGTACGCTGGGCGTACTCCAATCAGATCAAAACCCTATTTTAGGGTCTTGGACCCTATTTAAGCTCCTTATTTCATAACCTAACCCTAATACCTTCAGCCCCCATCTCTCTAAATCCTAGAAATTGACCCTTAGCCCCCATTTGAGTGATTGTAGAGCTTCAAAATGATTTTTGGTGTGTTTTTGTGCTAGAGAAGGAAGAAGGAACTTCTTTAAGAGTCATTGTTTGACTTGGAGCTTTTGGATCCAAGCTTTGTGCACCTGGATCTATCTTCTGGAGGTATAAAGTCTCAATCTTGACAACTTTTCCATGTAGATCTAGCTAAGTGGTACATTGTTATGGTTTTGGTCCCTTTGAGGTGGTTCTTGTGAGTAGAAGTTACTCTAGAACCTTTGAGCCCCTTATTTGGTCCTTATTCATGTTTTGGAGTCATAAAGTTTAGGTCTTGAGGGGTATAAACCTTCCGTGCATGATTTGGTACTCATTTAATCAAGTTTGGGACTTAAGGTTTAGATTTAGGCCCCATTGAGTTATGCTAAGTCATAAAGTTGGAAACTTTATGACTTAAAGCATTCGACTTTATGGATCAAGTCACTTATATTTAGCCATTTTGAGGTTTTGGATGTCTTGGCTTAATGGATTAAGAGCTAGGATTGAGAGTTGGTCAACAAGAGGAGTACGTTGGGCGTAAAAGCCTGTACACGCAGCGTACAAGCCCTTAATCAAGTACGCTTAGCGTACAAGCTGGGTACTGTAACGCCCGCAGATCCGGACTAGTTAAATTAGAGATAATGAGCATCAAAAATGAGTTTTTGATGGAAGATTATTTATAAGGATTAATCTTAACCAAGTTGTAGACTATGTTTCAAGGGTTCCGTACATATAAAGAACGTCGAAATCCGAGTTATAACGAAGAAGTTATGGCCCGTCGATTATTTATAAGAATTAATCCAACTCACCGTTTTTGTTACAAACAAGACTCAATTATAGACTTTCAGAAAGTAGAATCTCATCTCCAATTTCGAAAACAAGATCAATGTTCATTTTACTTATCAATTTACAAGTATCACTACAATACTATCAATTAACAATTAATATATTATCTGAAACTTTTAACGAACTACAGTTAATTATAACTATTGTGGAACAAAAGGCTTACAGAAGATGAAAAGAAGACCATAGGATCAAACGAAGATCATCGATTTATACGAACTCTGTTCGCCGTCCGTCGAGGTGAAGGGAGGAGTTCGTGGAGGAAGTCGCCAACTGCCAAGAGCGTAGGACTGAGATTAGCAAATTTTCAGGATAAATGTTCAACATAGGTACCTTTAGTTTTATAAATTCAACTGAACCCCTTAAATATCATTTGAGGACAAATCATCTTTAATCCTCTCTTATAAATATTTTTTTTTTGTCATTTTTTACATTTTTATTCAATTTGCTTAATGTCATTTTATGATTATTTTGAATTTATTTTTTTCCACATGTCATTTTATCAGTTTTTCTATTTTATTAAATTAAATTTAAATATAATAATTACAATAAATATAGTAATATATTGAAATCAATTTCATTAATGAGTTTACCTTTTAATTTTAAAACTCTCAATGTTAAAGTTCATTAGTTTTTTTTTTAATTATTTTTTTTAATTTAAAAGATAAAAAAATATTTTCATTATAATAATTCATTATTTTTCTTATTTTCTTTTAAATTCAAAGTTCTCAAATATTTTGATATTTATATTTAAATTTTTTTTTTTAAATTAACTCATGTAATACATGAGTATCAGAACTAGTTGTAAGAAATATAACAAAATATTTTAATTTTTACAGAAAAATACAAAAAAAAAAAAAAGTGCTCGAGCGAGCAATAACAGGCACCATTTATGTAGCATAGAAATGAGATCTTAGAAAGAGTTTGGGGTATTGGAGGGGTTCCCGAGGCATTGGGCTAAGACCAGGTGCGGGTTTCCATGGCACCTGGAGTAAGATCCTAGAAGGTTTCCAGGGCTTCCTTATATGATTATATGTAGTGTTTATGTGGTAGAGATAGCTTTGACAGCTAATATGATATGTGTTATGTGGATTGTGTGTGGGGGTATGCTTTGGGGGACTCAC